AATCTGGACCTCAAAAGAATTCTTTGTGAGGCTTTGCCCGCTCTCAGAAAATAGCATTATCCCTAGATGATATAAGAGCAGGTCAATGTATCAGAAGGTAGACATTCATACTAATAGATTGTTTTAGATAAACTTTTCAAGGACATTATTCTGAGCAGAAGTGCTTAAGTATTACTTTGGTAATAAAATACTATTTAGGCCAAAGTGAGAAGGATGCTGAACTGAGACGTGCTTATAGGAGTCTCGGAGTCATGTCCTGGCTCTGGGGAGAATTTACTCATACATTTAAAACAAAATTGAGTCTTTTTATGATTACAATTAATCAAAGTGAGATTTTAAATAAAGTGTAGACTTTTGCATTTAGCATTGATTTCGAGTCAGATAATTGCATTTCCGTGAATTTTCTGGGAAAAATAAACTCTTGGATTTCTGTTACTGCTTTAAATGAAGTATCGCTCGCTGGCTGATGCTGAGTATTGCAGTGATAAAGCAAGTCTGGTGCCGATTCTTGGAGAAATTGGCCATCTCAGCTCTAATTCTGCAGCCCCTGCAGGTCAGTCTGTCCTCAGACTCTCCCTGGATGAAGCTACAGGTAGCTACTGCTACTTTTATATACTTGCAGATATTGATTCTGTACCTAGGATGCTGTATCGGTAGTAACTAGGTAACATGATGTTTTCTACTGAATTATATCTCACCAAAAGATACTAAGAAAAAGATTTAATTGTAGCTTTTAGTCAAATTATTAATGGCTAGGTTTTGAAAAGAGAATAGGTTTAAACAGTTCAGATATTAATTGGTTTTGACACCAGGTTATGTTTGTTTGCTTGAATTCCATAGGTGTATTGAGGTCCAGGTAAAGCACTGATGAAAAAGAAATTTTACAGCTTTTTAATGGAGCATTTTGATGGATATTTCTTACTGTGTTGTGTTTATTTTTTTTTAATAGCTACTACAGCACCACCATGCAGTTCATGAAATTTCATACATCGCAAAGGACATCACAGACCATCGAGCGTTTGGATATGTATGTGGAAAGGAGGGAAATCACAGATTTGTGGCAATAAAAACAGCCCAGGCAGTAAGTATCAGATCACTGTCATTTTCTACAGTGTAACTCAATAGAAAAGCCGTGTTTGTACGAAGCTGTTCAAGAGGCCAATCTTGTATTGTTTATGACTGCACTAGTCTTGTCACGAGTGTCTACTTAGGTGTTCTTAAATTGCAAGTTAATTAAACCAGCTTGAGAAAAAGGGAATGTATTTCATTATTTCTGATTTTTCAGGATTTTTCTTTTTCATAATTAGTTATTGTTTTCCTTTTTAACTAAACCAGACTGGATAGAGAGTTCAATTTTATTCCTATACTCATTCAATCAGAAAGTGATAGATACCAAGTAGCTACTTTGCATATAGTCTACCATAATTTGGTTTGTATGAGAAACCACTAATAAATATGACTTTATATTCATATATATGCCTTTTATAGTCATAATTCCTTTTATATTCATAATTATCATTGTCATTAATTTGCAAATATAGTTAATTCGATAGAAATTAACCTGAGCCTGGATGCTAAGGTAGAAATTAATTCTGTTTGAAGTTCTTTCCAATTGTGGAGGTGCTATAACTGCTCTATCAGCAGGAGTATATTTTCCCATAGAGAAACTTTCCATCCTGTTTTTGCTTCCATAGGCTGAACCTGTAATTCTGGACTTGCGAGACCTGTTTCAGCTCATCTATGAACTGAAACAAAGGGAAGAAATGGAAAAAAAGGCACAAAAGGACAAACAGTGTGAACAAGCGGTATACCAGGTACATGCATAAGCTTAGACTACTGCCAAGAAAAATGTCGTTTGAAGTATCCCTCCAAAGTAACTCCAAAGAGGCACTGAACATCCTCAGTATTTCTTAACAGCAACGGGTTTGAACGGTGCTAGCTTCAAATGGACGAATACGAGCCTGACAGCCATCATGGGCTCAGGAGTAGGATTAAACGGTGATGAAAGCTATCACTCGGGGTGTGATGAACATATTAGCAACTGGAAATGATCTGTTCATTTCCCGCGTAGTGTTTCTTCTAATTCAGAAGGAAAACTCTAACTAAGGTCTGTGTGCTCTAAGTCAGGTTTTTACCAGTGTCTAAAACTTTAGGGAAGATTCAATATAACTCTGAATGTGTGTATTTGAATCAAATCAAATAAGGTGCAGATTGTTAAACTCAGATGAAGCTTGAATAAAGTTACTTTGTAAAATAATGTGACTTTATCTGTACACTGAAGAAAGAAAACTATATGCTTACCTGCCCATTTTGCTTATTTCTTTGCTGTCCTTTTATTTCTGTATACAGTTCTTTTATCTCTACTGTTTATGTTCTTTGCTTTTACTGCCTGTCCTCTTACTTTGCTGTAGACAATTTTGGAAGAAGATGTAGAAGATCCTGTATACCAGGTAATTTCTGAAGCTGTATGGCCTTGGAGTTTCAGAAATGACTAGATATATGTTATCTTCAAACACAGCCAAAACCTTTAACAAGATGTTTTGAAGTTTACTGAGACTCGTCTTCTGAGAAACTTGTAAGATTTTTACAGAAAGTAGAGTATTTACAGATTAAGCTGTAAGTAATAGCATAATTTATCTGTATAGAATAGAATCGTATTTCAGTTGGAGTATAGAAATACTAGGTTAAATATGTGGTAAATATTTCCTAAAATGTGGCTTGTGAGTCCAGATTTTAAGTTTCCAAATGAGATTTGTCATCGTTTTTGAACACAAACTCTAAGTGAAAAGGGACTTACTTTGAGAATAAGGAAGGTGACATCTTGGTCTGGTAGTAATAAATTGACATTTTGGTTTTGTCTTCTATGGGGCTAGAATTTAACTCGGCGAATATTTGGAAAAAAATACAACAGTGGAACTGATGTTATAACACTGTCCTTTGTTGATGTTTAGGCTATGATTTAATAATAGATCTGAAATTTAAGTCTTGTTTCATCCAAGGAGAATGTCTGGGAGCAAAGATAATTATCAGAAATCTGTCAATATATTCATGTCCGATACCCTACTGAGTGTGAAGAAGAAAAAGATGTAATTTCATTCTCATGTCTTCTGCTGAAACAAAATATATGATAGTTTACTTTTTTTCTTTCCTGGAGATTTTGTGTTCTTCCACTTAAGCATGTCAGTGGGAGGCATGCTGAAAGAAACTGATTCAAGCATTAGTGAATATTGAACGGTGCCTGAGGTGCAGCAAGAGAGATGATAAGAATTAGGATGCCCTAAATTACTATTCAGCTTTTATAATGTCAGGAGTTTTACTTTGTGCTCTTCACAATAAAGCGAGAACCTGAAAATGAAAAGCGTTGTGACAGCCTTTTGCCATGTGGCCTGTTACATGAGCACCAGCTTGTTCTCCCCAGTTTGGATTTAGCTTTTTTATTCATAGGTAATAAATATATGTGGAAATAATTGCCGTTATGTAAAAGAGGCAAAATTCACGTTGACTTCAGAAAATTAATATTGGGCCACAGGCGGTCTCCCTAGCGAGAAAGAATTAGGAAGTTGCTCTAATGATCATTAGAGGAGATTTAGGTCTATTCATTGCCAGTTTATGAAACATGAAACAACCTTACTCTGCACTTTCCAACAAACCGGTTGTCCTGCTGCCAGCCTGTACTTTGAACTTGTTTCTTTAATGCCTGCCTATGTTTTTACGTGGAATTCCAAATAGCCTTTTTCCCTTCTGTTTCATCTTTGACTTTTCCTCTCTGGCGGCTGGTGTAATAGTACATTGTGTTTGAGGCTGGACACGAGCCAATCCGTGAGCCTGAAACGGAAGAAAACATTTATCAGGTATAAAATCGCTAACTTCGGTGTTTTCATTGCAACGATCGCAAGCATTTAGTAAAGTACATTTCATACATGGTTCACTTTTATCAGTTTTCATTCATCACAAAAATGTCTGGCATTCCATTCTGATGACATGACATGAATAATCTGCCGGTCTCAGTGTGATTTTTCTGTTGTTTGTCATTTCAGCTTCTGCAAATTTTATTAACTTTGTCAACTTATCAAGGGTCTTAAAGTTTTGAGTGCACCATGTAAGGCAGCAAATAGTGGATTCTCTTTTTTTCTATTAGTTTTTGGAAACTTTCTACACCTATTCTAAGAAACTGAAAACTCCGAGAGGGGCAGACCATCCAACTAAGAATTGGATTCAATTCTTAGAAAGATGTTTTGATGGTACTGCTCTTCTTTCTGGCTAACCAAGTAAATAACTGTGCAAAACATGAGAGCTCTCAATGAATATACCCCAAACTGGGGAAAATATTTTCAGAGTGTATGTGTTACGTTAGAGCCCAAACTCTCATTCTTCACACTGACAAAAAATTACATTGAAAGCAACATAAAATAATCTTTTGTCATTCAATTTGTCCTTGAGGGATCAGTCCAGGGTTTATTAAAATACAGTGTAATTCGTTTTGTATCATATACTAGAGGCAAATCTGGAGATAGACAGAAGTCTCTGTGTGCTGTAAGAAAATTGTGATTCGAGGAAATCATTTAATAGGGAGGGGAAGGAGATTCAAGCAGTGATTAAGCATTTCATCTAGCTGTACTAGAGGTTGATCTGCTAATAGGAAAAGCTTTTTTCAGATAGACAGGACCAAGGAAAAAAAATAAAAAGAGGAAAGGTATTTCTTTAAGTAATGAGAAATGTTAGGAAGGTAATAGAAAACATGAAAGGATACAGTAGCTGTAGACAAAATAGAAAGAAGCTAAGTGGGAAAGGGAACTGTGAGTTAAACATTAGAAAATTATATATAGACTCCATCAGAGGGTCATTAAGATGAGATTCATTTAGCCTGTCTCTGTTGATTTCCTGGCACCCTGCCACACACACTAGAACATGCATCTTTCTGCATCTCTAGACCAAAACATGCAAAGCTGTCATGGTGAGAGTCTGACTAAGGTAGAAAATCTTCTACCACATGGTGTTGTAAGTTTGACTGTTTTCAGGGAGCAATCTCTTAATAAAGGACTACTTTACCTGTCAGTTTTATGCTAGAAACAAAATTCATATGACAACTATATTCAGATGAGAAATTTCTGGTTGTTGTTCATCAAAGTGCAGAGCTTTTAGTGACATTGTAGAGAATTACTGGTGAAAACAAGCAAAATGGGGTCATCACTCCCAGTGTTTGGAGATCTTGGAGCAAACTCTGGTGCATAGGGAGGACTTAAGAACTGTGTTCTGAGGAATGGCATAAAGAACAGGAGGACTCTTTGGCCAGTTTCTTTTTCTTCAAAAGGAAATAGAAAGTGATAAGCAAATAGAGAGGTCTTGCTTCATCTCGAGGTACTACTGTTACCGTCCTGTAAGTATCTGGATGCAATTAAGTGTTTCCTCCCACAGTGCTGCACAGAAAATACCAGTGGTGAATATACCATACTCTCAGTATACGCAGTCTAGCATTGTCCTTCTCTAAATTTCCTACAGGCAATACCTTGAGTACAGCAAATGCTGAGATTAGGGAGCTGGGAGTCTTTTTCTGTTATCTATTGTGATTGACAGGTGCTGAAGTATTGCTACCGTAGACTTACCCAGAGCCACAAGCTTCCTAGTTCCCATGGACTTCATGAGCTCTTGGCTTGCTATAAATCTGGGTTGCCATAGCTCAGAGCTTACATTCAGATCACTGGCAAAATTGTTTCTCCTACAAGATCTTGATGATCTCAGAACCATGCAGGCTGCTATTAAAAATGAAATTAGAAAAAGTCCTTATTTCTTTATTTTTAATTTGTTTGTTTGGTGGGGTGTTTTTTTTTCATTTTATGCAAATTTAATAGCAGGCTGCTATTAAAAATGAAATTAGAAAAAGTCCTTATTTCTTTATTTTTAATTTGTTTGTTTGGTGGGTTTTTTTTTTTTTTCATTTTATGCAAATTGATGCCAGCCTCTATTATTTACTACAAAACCTTCCCATACTAGACTTTGCTAAACATGCATCTGGTCAGTAACCCGATGTATCCTTGCTTCAACCGCACCAAATTGTCTGGTACTGCTCTGTTTTTTAACCAAGAGCTGGTATGCCAAGAATTTGCTTCTCCCGTGGAGGAAAAGATTCCTAGCCAGTGGGTAACTGGAGATGGAATATATGTGCTGAAAGTGACAATTTCGATTTCTTTTTAACATAGTAGAGGTCTCAGTTTTCTTTTTAAGCATTCTTGCTCTGTCTGTCACCTTTCTTTGATACATTACCCCAAAGACTGTCTGTCTGTCTCCTCTTTTAGTATTTTCTGTCTATATAAGTTGCTCTAATGTGTTAGTGATGCAAGGATTTGATCACTGATCATGTACCAATCCTCTCACCCAGTGTCAGATTTCTTAATAGCATCTCTTTGCCTGTCTGTTGTTTTATGGTAGTGAGGTGGGGATGGGATTTTCTTAGGTGGTTTTGTGTTGTGTATGTAGCAGCGTTGGTCTCTACGGAGAGGCAAGTTCTGCTCCACCAGGAGTTGACAATCTGAGATGGGGGTTTCTGAGCTGTGGTGCTTGTATCACTGATAAGATACAAGCACGTCAAAATGGTTCACAGCCTGTCACAGAGCCAGAGCTGTCAGCAGCAATAGTGCTAGTGCCTCTTTGCTGATATAGCTAATGAAAGAAAAAACAGGAGAAATTCCTTGCAGAACCCCGGTCTAATTAGCGATGCAAAAAACCATGATGATACATGGCAAGTAAAGACAACAGGAAGACGGATGCTATCGAGTTGGGAGAGAAGAAGGTCTTTCGAAAAATTGTCTGTGTCTTGATATTAGAAATCAGGAGCTTTTCTTTAATGTAATGATAAGCTGGAGTAAAAAATGAGGTGACCAATAGTGAAGGAAAATGCTCATTCCACAATAAGCTGTGGATAGGAGTGTGCAAACTGGGATGACTTCATGGAAGAGGTGGAAGAATGGCTGAAGGGGAAACTTTCCAGAAAGAAAAGAAAAATGCACCCTGACAATAGTTTCTAAATAGTTTCTCTTACCACTTTTGTCTTCTATTTATGAAAACTAAGCTTTCTAGTGCCTTACTAAATAGACTATTCTTGGTTTCTACTCTTACACTGCCATTTCAAGCTCTCTTTACAGACTGTTATTGCCATGAAATTGAATTGTTCCACTCTCACCAATTTCACATATCTAATGCGATAGGTGGTTTTAGTGGAAGTGGCCAGTACTTTGAGAAAACCAAGGCAAGCAAGTCATTCCCAGGATAGGAATAGAAGAGATCTTCTGAAAAACTTGTTCAGTTTCTGTGAGGATTCTGTTCTCATGCCTCTGGAGTGCTCTTGAAAAACCTCTGCAATGTGCACCAAGTTCAAGATGCATGCTTTCCTGTGAAGACTTTGACAGTTTAAACATGGGCAAGAGAATGTTTGAACAGTCAAGAGAGTTTTTTATATATTATACAGAATAAGAAATGATAGCACATCTCAATGAATAACCAACATTCCTTCAACTTCCCCTAAACCAGACCTACTCTGATATCAGAACTCTGTTTATTGTCTTAGAAAGCAAAAATGTAATCATTTTGTCATATCTGCAGTATTATTTCTCCTATTGAACTGTGAGGTTTCATTCATGTCTGAAATGTAACCTTCTTATGCTGAATGCCCTTGTTCAGTAGAAAAGTAGCACTGATTTACTTACAGCATTTGTGCCAGTTTAGAGCTATTTTTACTGTTCTTTTTTCTTGCAACATTCACAGTAGACGTTCAGTGCTTCTAGGAAAGAAAAGAAATATGATCACAAATTATAAATATGTAAACCAGCAGTCCTTAGGCAAGCAAAGCCCAGCATTACAAAGCAACTGAATTTACATGAATAGGCTATGAATGCCCAAGGTGTAAATCATGACTATTGACTCAACTGGAGACTCATGCAAAGTTTTTTTGAGTGCATCACCCCTGTCCATGCGAGGCTGTTGACTTAGCTTCTTGGCTGTGTCAGACTCAAAAAAGCCAGTAATTCCCTAGCAAAATTCATAGAATCATAGAATGGCTTGGATTGGAAGGAAACTTAAAGATCATCTAGTTCCAAACCCCCTGCCATGGGCAGGGACACCTTCCACTAGATCAGGTTGCTCAAAGCCTCATCCAACTTGGCCTTGAACGCTTCCAGGGATGGGGCAGCCACAACTTCTCTGGGCAACCTGTTCCAGTGCCCCACCACGCTCATAGTGAAGAATTTCTTCCTTATATCTTATCTAAATCTCCCCTCTTTCACTTTAAATCCATTGCCCCTTGCCCTATCACTACACACCCTTGTAAAAAGCCCCTCTCCAGCTTTCTTGTAGGACTCTCTAGGTTCTAGAAGGCTGCTAGAAGAGCAGAGCCTTCTCTTCTCCAGGCTGTTCAGCCTTCTCTTCTCCAGGCTGAACAGCCCCAACTCTCTGAGCCTCTCTTCATAGCAGAGGTGCTCCAGCCCTTGGATCATCTTTGTGGGCCTCCTCTGGACCCACTTGGACAGGTCCATATACTTCTTCTGTTGGGGACCCCAAAACTGAATGCAGTACTGCAGGTGGAGTCTCACGAGAGCAGAGTAGAGGGACAGAATCCCCTCCCTTGACCTGCTGGCCACGCTGCTTTGGATGCAGCCCAGGATGCAGTTGGCTTTTTGGGTTGCCAGTGCACATTGCTGGCCCATGTTGAGCTTCTCATCAACCAGCACTCCCAACTCCTTTTCCTCAAGGCTCCCCTCAATCCATTCTCCGCCCAGCCTGTACTTCTGCTTGAGATTGCCTCGACCCATGTGCAGGACCTTGCACTTGGCCTTGTTTGAACATAATGAGGTTCACACAGGCCCACCTCTCCAGCCTGTCAAGGTCCCTCTGGATGGCAGAATTGTAACAAGCGTCACTTAGAGTAGCTGCAGGGCCCGATCACTGCAGGGGTACTTGTTATGAATTTATTTGATTTAGATTAGTAAATGAATTGGAAGGAAGAAATCTAATGCCGTAGTTCAAACATCAGTTACCCCTCAGATCAGTAGCTCTCCTCTGGATCTCTGCCATGGAGGATGATGACATGCTGACCTGTTCATGACTTCCATGTGCATCTTCTAACACCCCAAGTAGAATGAAAAAAACAACCATATAAGTAGGAATGAGATCCAAGTGCACCTGGACTTAATACAACAGAACTTTACCAAGAATGAAAATCTCATTTCTGAATGCTAGTGGTCTTTAGGATTTAAAAAATTCAAATAGAGTTTTTATTTCTTCAGTATCGTCTCCATTAATGTTACTGCTTGAATGAAAAGGGAACCATCCTTGATTTCATTAATATAAATGACTATCCTGTACATAAATATCAGTTACTGATTTCAATTTTTCATTAAACCTCTTTGGTTAATGACCTTGGGTTTCATTTGCTGTTGCAGGTTCCTACCAGCCAAAAGAAGGAAGGTGTTTATGATGTGCCAAAAAGTCAACCTGTAAGTGTAAGTATCTTCCCTATTTATATGCAGTAAAGAAGATGTATTTCTTAGCTTATGTGACTTTCATTATTGTATGTAACATTTGGGACATTCCTCGTGATGTGAATTTTTAGCAGTGATGTGTTATGGGTTGACTGAGTTGGTTCAGAGTAACCAGGATTGTAATGTCACTTATATTCATCTCATTCATTACTTGAATCTCCTTTCTGGCTTTTCCAACTCATTCTTATGAAAGTTGCATTTTATAAATGTGTTATCTGTGCTTAAGAGTTGATACTGAGTCTTCTGCATGTTAATGCATGAATCGTTGCTGCCTGGGTTGGAAGGGTTCTTCTGTTACTCAGTGCTGCAAGGCTTATCACTCTGAGTGAGCATGGGCTGCGTTTTTCCCCCGTGTGCTCTATCAGAGCTGTACTTCATACATTGTGCTCCTTACAGCTTGCTTTAGTAGGACAGCAAGGAGGCAAGGGCTGCAGAGAGAGGTTGAGAGAAGTAGCTTTAGGAAAAGGTAGGTCAGAACATCGTCTGTGACCTCCACGGTGATTTTCTGCGGCTATAATGTCTGCACCTCTCAGAAGGCTTCCTAGTGAATCCAGCGTGCTGATAAGTAAAGATTTCATAAGGAGCTCCAAATCAACTGTTACCAAAAAAACGGGAATTTGCATTAGAGTTACTTTTCAGTCATGTGGGAAAAAAACCCAAACAGAACAAGTTATATCAAAATTCAACCTAACATACACCATAAAAAAGCAATTATTTTTCCAATAAAGCCAACTTCTGTGGTGGCTTTGTAAGAGCTGTAGCATTGTAGGGCAGAGATACGTGTAATTGCCATTAGTTTAAACAGCTGTGAGAAACTCTGGAAAGAACTACATCACGATTAAGTGTGCAAAAAGGTGTCACTCAACAAATTCCTGAGTGGCAGAATTTTTGGTCTATGTATCACATTGTTTTCCTGGTTGTTATGGTCTGTAATCAGCATAAGGAGATTTCCTCCCAATATTGCTACGTATTATTTCTGTAGGGCTCTAAGTATACAAGAGGCTAAGGGTCCGTACAGACTTTCAACTTAATTCTTTCTGTCCTGTGCCTTGCATGAACAGTAGACTATTTAAAAACTAGAAGTAACATGCTGTTGTATCCAAATGACACCATTCTCTTGCTGTGTATTAGCATTTTGAAGAGGTGAAACATTTATCCCCAGAATGTATAAGGAATAGTAACAAGGGGTTGAGAGAAGTGGAATGACAGATGCTTAGCAACAAAGCATGCATTTGCTGAAGGGCAGGTTATGCTATTTAAAATAAATTTGTGCTAAATACCTTGAGAAATTGTTCGATTGCATTGGTTGCATGGAAAATTAGTATTTCGGAGGATTTGTGTGAGAATGGAGAGGAACAGAGGAAAAGGTCAGGAATTTCAGTCTGCTGTAAGCATGGGAAAAACGCCTGTATTCAAGAGAGAGAAAGAGGGTCTCCTTTCATGTAAGGAGATGGTAACTTGCACAGCTTGGGCTGAGCATGGAGACCGAGATGCCAAATAAAAAAGATAAATGCTGGGGAGGGGCTGGACTGGAGCCTGAATGGTGACACTTCTGTGGTTTGCACAAACAAACAAAACTTGCCATAAATATTTCATGATAAGCCACGAGGAGGAGGGAGGCATCACCCTGTTGCCTGGGAAATCTAATAAAATAACTCATGCCACGTAACTAATGAAGGTATTTGTGGACCAGGAATACCTGTGGATTTTTCACTCGTTTCTCATATAGGTCATTGTAACAATTTTTCTGCTGTACATTTTCTGTGACTTTTTTATCATTCCTTCAGCAATGTTTCAAATTTACTCTGGGCATCGTCTGTAATTTAGGTTGTTGCAGTGTGACTGGGTGTTGGGTACACTTGCAATCATGTCTGCAGACACTTTGGTATTAGACTGTCCTGGTAAAGAGCGTGACTGTGAGATATAGGGCATATGGAACCTACTCTGTAATCATCAAATGTATTTCATTTGTCATCTCCATGAGGCTAGTTGCAACCTTAGTATTTTTTTTTTGCTATTTCATGGTTACATTTAAAGCGATTAGAGCTTTTTCTCCAAACAAGTTATGTACTTTAATTTATGAAGAAGAAGAGAAGAAAGAGAAGAGGAAGAAATATGTAGCTGAGATTTTTGTTTCACCTTTTTATTAGTATGTATTAAAAAAAAAAAAGCAGCAATAGCTCTTAAAATTAGCAATTTAATATTCCACTGCCCATCTGATTTATTGCTCACCCTTCCACATCTGAGACTCTCTGTCATTGAGACACTTGCCATAATTTTTTTTTTTTCAATTTATAGCTGTCATTATTATATAAACCTCTAAAATTCAATCTGAGGGCAAATAATCTATCTCATCTACCTGGTTTAAACATGGAAGGACACTTTCTTTATTAGGAGATCTTGCTTTCATTAATTTTGTGAAGGAAGAATAAAGTGAGAAACTTTTTGTAGCTCCTAACAGGTTTCAGGCCCCATGAATTCTCTCTCCCGACAATAAATACAACACTTAATAAAAATGAAGCAAGTTTTACTTGAGTTCAAACGGAATTGCTCACGTTCCCTGGACAGAGATCGATTTTCCATCTTGGTATTGTTTTCTTTTCCTCTGGTGTGTTCTCAGGCAAGTTATCTCTAGTCTCCACAGATAAAAGTGAGAGAGACTGATGTAGTCATGTCGGCGCCCTCCACCCTTGACTCTCTGTATCCAGGGGAGAAAAATAGCTGCTTCACGACAAATTCCACCTGACTACGAGAGGGTCGCTCTCAGGTGGAAATAAATCTGGACGTTGTTCTTTCATAGCTGCAGAGGAACTTTAAATGGCTCTGAGGTATGATAACTTCTAGATAGTTAGGCTTAGGTGGGGCGAGATCTACCACGGTGTAAAAGCTAAATCCAGAATCCATTTTCCAAAGGTTACCTTGAAACTGGGAAGTGTAGTTCGTGCTGGATTTCGATAATATAGTTTCTTAAGGAAACCAGGACCGTTTGGGCAAATATTGCTTTCTCTGTGTGTATGGGATCCCATTGGGGGTGAAGGTATGAAGCATCTTCCTGGAAATGCCATGAAGCAGAAGTATCTGACATTGTGTATGCATCGAGATAGCCGATGTACTTACACAATCCTGTGCCGTTGGGTGAGGCTATTTCTTAGAAGGTGTCAAAGTACTTTACTGTGTGGCTCCTCATGATCTCTGATATCAAGTAATGTAAATACAGTGCAAATGAGGCGGAAAGGAATGAGTCTCGGATCTCAGAATTTGAACGTACCCACTGAACTCAATTACGAGTGGTGGCTGGTTGCCAAGTCACTTCTCTGACATTGGGATGAAAAGATTGCTTGCTCAATATAATTCTTGTATTTCCCAGTCTCTTTGCTGCATCCCTTTGCAGCAAATCCTGCTCTCCTGTAGATTTCCTCTGCCAGGCGTGCAGCTCAGCTCCAAACACGCACTTTTCGTGATATCCAGTACCCTCCTAGTATGTCTCCCTTCCTCTATATCAAATCACACTTCTGGTATTCATTCCTATTTTCTCTCTGCTCCTCTCTTAGACCAATTCTCCTATTCTCCATTCACTGAGAATAGACATCAAGCCAGACAAAGAAAGCAAGCTCACCCCAAAGAGCTTGTGTTAAGTGGTACACGCTCCACTTAGGAATTGTGGTTCCGTATGTGAAATTAACTGTTCTGAAAAAGTGAAATGTGTAATGAGCTCTTTTTGTCGTAATTTCCCATCGTCTCCCTGTTATACATCCACATCAAGTTCTACCTGTCATGGTGTTTTTAGTAATAAGAGTCAAACTGTAAATACCCTTCACGGAAACTGTCAGTCACATCACAATAAAACCTTCTCTTCTCATCAAAATGTCTAAACTATCTGCTTACAATTTTATGAAGGCTTTCAAACAACTCATCTTACTGCTGTATAAAGATTCAAAGCATTATAGGTGATGCCTTACAATGCAGGCAGTCGTCTGGCTAGTACCAACTGCGTGGAAAATATTAACAATCCAGGGTGGAATGGCCAGGAGGTGACTTGACTGCCCTGGGGGCAAGGCACGGGAGGAGCAGATGAAGCTGGGCTGGACTTGAGCCCACTCAGGTCTGGAAGCCATAAGGGCTGCCTGATCCTTCTGCCCCAACTGGGAAAGCTCAGTTTTAATTCTGGCTGGGATTACAGTGCCATTTGTAGGTCTCTTTTTCCAGGCTCTTGTCAGAGGCAGCCTGCCTGGGGTCAGCTGGAAGGCGTGGGCAGCCCTGGGCTCCACCAGCACACACAGAGAGTGGGACCCTGGAATAATGACATAACAAAAGGTCTGGCAAGGAAGTTGTTCAGAGCAGCTTTCCAGTTAACTCTGACCAGCCTCTACAAAGTGAATTCTTTCTGTGGCACTTGGTCTGGAGAGGAGCTTTGGCTTTTCCCTAAGTTTCCAACAATGGCTTTACAGAAACAACTTGAAGAGTGATGATGTTGACTTCAGCCTCCACAATCAGGCTTTCAGGGTCAAATTTTAAAACATAAGAGAGTGCACAGACCCAGTCTCTGACCATGTGTGCTGGCAAAGGTGTCTGGTTTTATTGGCAACCTGGTGTAGTGGAGGGTTTCCCTGCCCATGGCAGGGGGGTTGGAACTAGATGATCTTTGAGGTCCCTTCCAACCCAAACCATTCTATGTTTCTGTGATTTACATTTGCTAAAAGAGACACCTATGTTCAAATGCCCTGACTCAGTTACGCTCAGTTAAACATCACGTTGGAGGTTTAACGTTGCAGTGTGGGACATGCATTTTTAACAGGCACAGCTACTTGTTGCAAAGTTTGAAAATATATTAGTTTGTTATGATCATGTCTTGTGTCACGAGTTTCTTAGATGTTTTAGTGGGCCTTTGATGTTTTTTAGACAGAGGTGGATATACATACCAGTATCTGCAGTGTAGACCTTGCACTAACTCCTCTGAGGAG